TGACTCGACGGCACATAACAACAAGAACAAAAATATTTCTGAAAACATTATCCTATTGACTGCCTGGAGGATTCATATTAAAGTTGTTGAGATTGAATATAAAAAAGTTCCAAGCTTTAGGACATTTAATATGTATGGATGTATAAGTAAAGAACAGATTGTTGTTACTGTTATGTACCATCAAGTTGACCAAGACTCACAGTGCACAATAGCTTTGAACTTTTCTCTCTCTGGAGCCAATCTAACAGTTTCTAATAAAACTGCCTTCATTGTCCCATTACTGTGTCAATCTATCTCATCCTGGGTTTTCTTCTCCTATGCTGTCCCTCCACCCTTTCAAGCATGATATCCTTCTCCAAAGACTGGTCCCTCCTGGCAACCAGTAAGTGAGATAGAGCCTCAAAATCCTTGTCCCTAAGGAGCAGCTTTGTTTCACCCTCTCCAAGATATATCTGTTAGTTGTCTTGGCAGGCAACTGATGTCTCACAAAGCAGAAGTTTAACAAATAGTTATTTAATTCATTACAGATTAGAATGTCAGAGGTTTTATCTGCCTTGTTTACTACAACCTCCACCCTCTGTGACACCATAAATGTTTGACACCATGGTATATTCAGTACTCTTCTCTAGCACCACAGCTCAAAGGCATCAATTCTTCTGTCATCTTTGGTCATTGTCCAGCTCTCTGATGGATAAAAAGTAATTGTGAAGACCACGGCCTGGGTCAGGCACACAAAAGCATAAAAAGTCTCATAATTGAGACACATTCCAAGTGCAATGAAAGAAAACGAAGACAAAGCAAATCATCCCTATCTATGGTGGGCTGTGGGAAACTTCACCATAGTAAAAATAGACATGAACAGGCCGAGAGAGGAAAGAAGGAGTATAGTGGAGAATAAATGTGCCAGTTCAAAGACGCAACAAATGAAAAGGGGAAGAAGAAATTTAAAGCATTCGGCATAAGGAACCAGGGTATGAATGCTTAATTAGGACTAAGCTGAGGATATAGATGGGGTTTACTTGTGAAGATATATTGTGTTATACTAAGGAAATAAGACTAGATTTTTTTACATGAGGGAGCTAATGAAGGGATTTTTATGACGTTGAAAGAATTTATTTCATTGCTTAAGCATCTCCTGATCTCATTTTCTCAATCTCAGTCTCTCACTCTACACACACACACACACACACACACACACACACACACACACTCTCTTACACTAACTCCCTCATTTGTGTAATGAACTCAATATTTCCTAATACATAAAGTATAAACATCTTATACTTCTTTGTTAAGGACCCCATAATTTGACTCTACCTTCAACCTTGATTCCTAACATTTTACTGAACCATCTTTACCATCATACTCTCTGACCTAACAATAAACTTTGTTTATGTCATTTCTTTTGCCTGAGAACAGACCAAGACCCCCTCAGCAGTCCTTTAAATCTTCAAAGTCTAGACTTTATTCCTTTATGATTTTGCACTGTTTTCTAATAGTTTATGCCCTCTTCTCTCTCCAATGAAAAAGACGCTTTCTGGGACTGGAGGTAGTTCTATGAGATCAAAGATCACACACACAAATATCCTCACTTCAGTATTAGTTCTCTAAGCACAAACAGCTGAAACTGAGTATGGTTTTATTGAATTACTGTCTTCTCCATGATATGAGGATAACATTTTTGGCTGTTTTGTTCACTGATGTCTCTCAAGCACCCAGGATAGTATGTGGCACAAAACAGAAGCTCAACAAATAGTTGTTTAATGCATTGAGAGACTTGGATGTCAGAGGTTTTATCTGCCTTGTCCACTACAGCCTCCACCCTCTGTGACACCATAAGTGCTTGATAAGTGTACTGAAAGAACAACGTTTAGATTGTGTGTACTACTTTCTTCATATATCCATTATCCTGTTGAACTTATAATAGAAATTTAATACATGGATTAGAAATGAAGCATAGTCAGGCTTGCTACTGAACTTTTATTACTATCAGCACAATTATGCCCTTCACAAGTGAGAATAGATTCCCAATTTGATTGCACACACAGAGGAGAAACTTTCTATAGCTACTTAAATACTTCTTCTATAACTTCTGATTTTTCTAGGCACAGAAATATCATCTCTGAGAAAGTAAGGACCTGGCTAGTGCTATAACAGAATAGGCTCATTGCTTGAACTAAAGGGAAGAACGCTTACTTATTAAAGAGAAACAAAGTCCTCCTTCAGAGGTCACTGGGAAACAGCTTAGTGAAGGTTATAGTTTTGCCATTCACATATAACCTAGATTCACTTAAACCACCTTGCACTAATGCCTCTTTAGCCATGCTTGTGCTTTCCTTCCATTCGTACTAGGAAGTTAGTCATGACTCTTCAGACAGGAAGCTCCTGACGTATTTTTGTCAACCATGGAATCTTGTCAGAAACTGCAGTCCAGAGAACTTAGGTCATCTGTAAGAATGAGAATAGTCTAAAAGTATTATATTTTAGGGCATTATTTTTATCGTAGGAGTACGCAATGAGGGTTGCAGAGTGGATTATATTTGAGGGTAGGGGGTGGGGGTTGGGGGGGGGGCGGGGGTATTGTGTACCAAAGAGGGAGTTTATCTTTCGCTTTTCAAGGAGAGGAGCAAAACGGAGGGGGGAGGGGTTTGTGCGGGGAGAAGGGTGCAACAATGGATGACTGGAATTCCAAAATCTCTGTAGATGTTCATTGAAATGAAAAATAAACAAACTAAATTTAAAAAAAAAGAATGTTTTAAAGTGTTCCTGTAACCCTGTACTATATGGACAATAGCAAGACAACCAGGAATTAGTTAATGCTGGTAAATTATGTTGTCAAAATGAGCTGTATTCTACCTCTCTTCTTGGAGACTGTGAAATTCCTTCTCTGTCTACCCTGATGTCATGCTGAGTCATAAAAAGTAATCTTCAGAGCATCACGTCTCTGGAGACCCTTTAGCCAGCCTGTTAGTCATTACCATACTCATGGGCTTGCTGCCAGAACCATTCACATTTCCCCCTGTTCTGTAGCAGATGGATTGAGTTCCATGTTCCTTCTCCCTCATCTCCCTAAAACCCTTCTCTGAGCTGCTAGATCTGTGAGGAGAGTATAACTTTAAGGAAACTTTTGGCAGATGCAGGCGTCCTAGCGTCTGGGCACTGTTACCACAATCCCAGAGGCCAAGATAGACCAGAAGCCACTTTTTCTAGGAATGTTATAGTAGGAGTTTCTTCTGACCAATAAAAGCAGAAGAGAAGAAGGAGAACAAGAACGAGGAGATAGTAAGAGAACATGAAAACATCACAATAAAACAGGTAAGATTCCCTACTAAACTCCTCCACCCTTCACTCCTTCATTTTCCAACCCAGGCAAGCATAGGTGTAACTGAGGGTATAGGTGTAACTTGGGTAATATGACTGAGTGGGTGGAGGGAGGAAGTAATTCTTATTTAAATCTGGTACACAAGCTTTTAATTTCTGCTAAACTGAATGCAGAAATGTATAGCTGACTCTGGTGAGAAGAGTCCAGTGCTTAATTTGAAATTAGGAAAATTAAAGAGTGGGCAGGGTCTGATGAGAGAGGGTAGTGATTAGTTCTCCAGCTTTTGATTAATATTCTTGAACCTCTCTTTAATCCCCTCTTTCTCCTCTGTTTGTACTCTTTCTCTTTCTGTTCTCTCAGATTTTCTTTCCCTTCTAGCTTCCTTCTCCTCTTTTATTCCTACTTGTTTTGCTTTTGTCTCTTGATCTCTACCTCTCTTCCTCTCCTTTTACCTCCCTCCCACCCTTCCTCTCTGTCTCTCTCTCTCTCCCTCTCCTTCTCACTCCCTCCTTCTCTTTGTCCCTCTCTTGCATTCCCCAGACAACACTAAAGTCAAGTAGTAATGAATTAGAAAGTATGAATGTTTGCCATTCTTGGACCTCATATATCCTTAAAGACACTAACATTTTGTGTGTGTATGTCTCCATTTCTGGGATAGACAGCTCATCCCACTTCACCCCCAGAATGACATTTCATTGAAAACATATGGGCAAATTAAATGGGTGCTTGCAGGCATTTCCAGTTTATCCTGATGGACAGCAAATTTAGTATAGCCGTATTAATATATGCCCACTGGCAGCCACAAAATTCATCCCATTAGAGTGAGAACAGGAAAAGCAGAGGGAAAATCATTACAGTCCTCTCAGTCTCTCCTCCTGTAATTCAGGAGGTCCCCTCTAACCTACCCAACTTTCTGCTGGCTCAGTAGGGTGAAACTGGAATGTTAGGTTGGACTTGAAAACCAGAAATCACTACCAAACCACTAAGCCTCAAAACCCAAAGTTAAGAGGAGAGCCAGTTGCTGCCTGGAAGACTAGCAAAAGGAAACATCTGATCCTGTGCACTTTGAAGCTGACAATAATACCATCTAACATATACATAATGATTGCTTCTCTATGTGTTAGGTATTTGTATCATTCCATAGGTGAGGAAAATTAAGGCAAAAGAATTGGATTCAGATCTAGAGATCTGAGTCCAGAATCCAAACTCTAAGTCCACATATACTAATTCTTTCCCAGATAAGCACTTAGGAAATATTAGTTGAATGGATAAAGCCATCAACCAGGTGCTTTGAGATGTTGGATTCCCTTCTGGTTCTATGTAACTTTCTAATGTTCTTTTTCTGATCTTTGTACCTCAATTTTCCTCTCCATAATTTGGGCCTTGGAATATATACATCACACCTCACCAAGATCAGGGGAAGATAGTCTTATATCCTCCTCCTGGGGAAAAAAAAGAGATCATTAACAAATAGAGTTCTTGCTATCCATTCTAAAAGGTCTTGTTTGTAGGGGAAGGGAGATGATATAGCAGGCATCCATTAATTTAAAAATATTTACATCTTTGCAGATTCCCATCCTTCATGTTTGGAAATTAACTGATTGTTGACCCTGAAAATAATTTTCCTTTTTCCTGATACTTCTGTCCATTCCTGCATCTCTAAACGCCCCATTCAAGGATGGCCCTTCAACCAACCCAAAGAGGAATGGTTTCTTTGTTGATCTTCCTAACTCCAGCAGTGACAACAACATGGTATGCAGGTAAGTCTTAGGTGTTATTGTTCACCATTTCAAAGAAGAGCAGGGTAAGGTCCAAAATTTGTAAGAGAAATGGGAAGACCACAATAACAGATACTTCGATTAGATGCAGAGAACGATTCTTGACAATTATATATACTTCTAAAACAAAACAAAAACCAACCCAAACGCAGCACCAAACAAGTTAAACATTGCAACAGACTACCAAAGTAAGCTTTTGAGGATCACTATCAATGGATCAGGGATCTCTGATGGCTTAGAGGTAAAGGAGTTGTGCTGCCAACTCAAAGAGACATGGTTTGGATTCACTGGCTCCTCTGCAGAAGAATGATAAGCAATCTCATGTTATTTACTGCTTCTGAAAAAGTCCACTGGATGGTCAGCTATAAGTCAGTTCTGACACAACAGCAGCAGCAAGGGATAGGAGCTTTGGTGGTGTAGAAGTTAAAGCACTCATTTGCTAACCAAAAAGATCAATTGTTTGAAACCACTAGCTTCACTATAGGAGATAAATGTGCAAACCTCTTTCTGTAAAAATGTATCGCCTGTGAAACCCTATGGGGAAGTTATACTCTGTCCTATAGGGTTGCTGTAATGAGTTGAAATAAGTTTAACACAGTGGGTCTGTTTTAATGAAGAATACTAGAAAATAAGCTAGATAAGCATAAACATGAGGTTGAAAAATGGACTTTGAGATTATTGTCTCGCCTGCTTCTGCATTTAACTTCCTGAAAACCAGTTTCTTTTATATTAATTCCTTTATAGATAACATCCAAATACTCTTGACAAAATCACACAAATAGAACTTAGGCTATGATTTGGTGGGGGGAATAAGGAAGAAAGCCAAAAGGCGATCTTTTTCAAAGGAAAGAAAAATCAATTTATCTCTCTCTGTGTCTTTCTCTCTGTCATGTTCTCATTTTTTTTTTAGTCTCTCTCTCTTTCTCTCTATATTATAGGATAAGACTTTTGTAGCCCCTTTCTGTCAATTTGCCAAAGATGTTAATGGTGATACAAATCACATTCTTTTAAACAAGAATCCCCTAGTTTGTCCTGATGTTTTCCTTACTTCAAAAGAGATGAAGATCTCTGAATTCCTGAAAGTATCACCCGTCTTCACTGGAGACATGTTATTATGGTTGTTGTGTGCCCTGTCAAGTGAATTCTGACTTATGAGAGTACCCAGAGAAGCCACAATTTTTGGTGATCCACACAGTCAAATGCCTTTGCATAGTCAATGAAACACAGATAGACTTTCCTCTGGTGCTCTCTGCTTTCAGCTAAGATCCATCTAACTTTGGCTTTAATATCCCTACTGCCGTGGCCTCTTCTAAACCCAGCCTGTACATCTGGCAGTTCTCTGTTGATGTGCTGTTCCAGTCATTTTTGGATAATTTTCAGCAGGATCTTACTTGCATGTGATATTAACAAAATTGTTCCACAGTTTCCATATTCTGTAAGGTCACCTGTTTTTGGAATGGGAACAAATATGGATCTCTTCCAATCAGTTGGCTAGGTTATTGTCCTTCAGATTTCTTGGTGAGCATGTCCAGGGCACTGTCTGTTTGTTGAAACATGTCAGTTGGTGTGCCATCAATCCCTGGGGCTTTGTTCTTTGCCAGTTCCTTCAGAGCAGCTTGAACTTCCTTCTTCATCACCATTGCCTCTTTTAATTTAATTATTATTCTTTTATTTTATATTGGTTTGCTCACAAAGTTCATATACATTGTGTTTTACACTATTCTTCATTCATACTGTGTTTCATACAATCATTCTCATGCGCTCTGCTTTATAAAATCAATCATGATTGGACCTTGCCCATCATTACCCAATCTTTTCAGTTCCCTGCTGGATCCTTCCTATTTCATTCACCCCCTCCCTCTACCTACCATACTGTTTCATGAAATTCTTCTGTCAGCCAATTCTTTTTGGTATAGTGACTCTGTGTACGCCTTCTATCTTCTTTTGATGCTTCCTGAGTCGTTCAACATTCTGCCTATAACATCCTTAAGCATTGGAACTCACACCTTGAATTTATTCTTTAGTTCTTTCAGCTTAAGAACTGCTGAGCAAGTTATTCCCTTTTGACTTTCTGACTCCAGTTCTTTACACATTTCATTATAATACTTTGTCTTCTTGTGTTGTCCTTTGAAATCTTCTATTCAGCTATTTAACTTTTTTATTTCCTCCTTTTGCTTTTGCTTCCAGTGTTCTAGTGTGATATTCAGAGCCTCTCTGACATCCATTTTGGCCTTTTCTTCTTCCTCTGCCTTTTTAATGAATGGAAATGCCAGAACACTTGTTTGTGCTTATGTGAAACCTATCCTTGAACCAGGAGGTAGTCATCAGAACAAAGCAAGGAAACACTACATAGTTCAAAATCAGGAAAGGTATATGCCAGGAATGTGTCTTTTCTCCATACTTTTTCAATTGCAGGAGGAATGTAGCATCATAATTGCATTATACAGATGACACAAACCTTGCTTTCTGAAAATGAGTAGAATCTTAGGGATTTGCTTCAGAAGGTCAAGGACTATGCCCTTCAATATGGATTGAAGCTCAACTTAAAAAAACAACACAAACCCACAACAAAAAAAAACCCAAACAAAACCCCAAAGATTCTCACCACTGGGCCAAAAGGTGGCATCATAATAGATGGTTAAATAGATTGATATTGTTAAGAGCTTCCACTTGATTGACTCCACAGTCAACACTCTTGGTACAATCAGCCAGGAAATCAATAGATGAATTGCATTGGAAAAATCTGCTGTCAGGGACCTCTCCAGAGTACTGAAGAGCAATGATGTCAGTCTAGAGACTAAAGTGTGCCTGATCTAGGCCATAGTCTTCACAATTACTTGCTCTGATAGAAGAATTGATGCATTTGAGTTGTGGTGCTGGAGAAGAGTATTAGATATACAATGGACTACTAGGAGGACAAACAGGCTGCTCCTTGGAGGCATGGGTTTTGAAGTTTCATCTGGCATACTTTGCAAGGAGGGACTAGTACTTAGAGAAGGACATCATGCTTGAAAAGGTGGAAGGACACCTCAGGAGAGGAAGACCCAGGATAAAATGGATTGACGCAGTGACTGGTAAGTGTGTCAGAAACAAGGAGGTTGGCTTAGGATAGAGCAAGGTTCAGAGCTGTTGTACATAGGGTCACTATGAGTCACAAGTGAATCCATGGTACATAACAACAACAGGAGTACTCAGAGACACAGGGGACTGAAAATAATAGACTCATTGATGAGAGGGAAAGAGTAAGGAGGGAGGGTGATGGAAAGATAATGAAGTAGCAGATAGAAGTTTGTGATGGGGCCCAGCTGGCATTCCAGATGCTAAGAATATTTTGTGGCCTACCGTGTCTGCCCTCATAATGGCTAGAGAAAATAGAGGAAGGAGACAAGTCCAACTAATGGGGTTAGGAAAATATCCAGAGATGAATAAATAACAGACTACTCCCATCACAGCCACACAGTCATTGCAACTAAAATTTTCCACATGCCCTTAGCTCCAAGTGGAGAACTTTGGCAGTAGCTCTACTTATCAAGAACAGCTGCATGAAGCCTTCAACAAATATACAAACTTTTTCTCCTCTTTGGTATAACCTGATTTGGTAGAGGAGGAAGCACAGGGGCTGAGATTGAGATTAAAACATTCAAGTCAGGCCCTTGGCAGACTATATATACACACACTGTTGGGGGTTAATCAAGCCCCAGTCTCCCCAAGTTCAGCTGTCTTCTCCAGTCTCCCCATTGCTTCAGTATAAGTACAAAAAATCGACCAGAGAGTTTAGTAAGCAGAGACTAGGTGATTCAGTGTCCAATTCTAAACATCTATATAATACCTTACGGAGTGCAAAGATCTTTACCTTTCCAGGATGGAGAGCTGGCCTGTTGAAAGTTCTGAGGAAAATTCAAACTGTGAGACCCTATGATTATCTCCTGTCCCCTAACCCTTGCAAATGCAGATAAGACTCCTTGTTCTGGAGAAAACACCAGGGTCACTCCTTCAGAGTCACTCCTTGCTAGGATTTCAAGCTCGTGAGGTGTACGACAGGTCTGCAAAGCCTTTTACACTATCCTCTTCTATGTAAGAGGGCTGCTTGATGGCAGAAATTTTCAGTGCTAATAATCCTTTCCCACCTCTGCTTCCCCCTTGCAAAGTCAGCTCTTTCCATTTATTTATTCATTCAAGAACTATTTGTTGAGCATTCTCTATGCATCCTGCACTACTCTGATCATTTCTACAGCCTTGTCCTCAGGTGAAAATGACATAAGGAAGGTAGCCAAGAGCAAATTCTAATCAGCAGGGATTAAGAGGGGTTCACCTCGCATAGTCACTCACTCAATGCCTTTGATTTGGTTCTGACTCATAGCGATCCTTCATCAAGTTTCCAAGGCCCTAAATCTTTGCTGGAGAAGATCACCAATTTTTCTTCTGCAAAGCCTCTGATGGATTTAATCCACCTGAGAGGCATGCTTTTTTTGTTAGCTGAGCAACACACCATGGCCTAGGCTACCAGAGCTCCTTGGGGAGGGTTAAGAACATATATAAAGAAAAGGTATATAAAGAATGTTAAATAGATATATGTATATTTGCATATCTGTGTAATTTAGGAAGTCACATGGGGTTTGTCATCATAAACCAAGCATAAGTTTGAATCTTAGAATAGACTTCAATCATCAATTGAATTTTCAACTATACCTTTAGTCTCAAGGATCTGACAATGCTATGAAAGTTGAAGGAACTCAGAAACAGATTACAGAGCAGCCATTAATTAATCTACATTGAACTGAGGAATGTTAACCAAACTACTCTCAAACCCACCACATGGCTAAATTGGGACTAGCAGATGAAGGGACTACATGCTGAGAGGATGCCTCTCTATTTTCATTCTTATACTCCATCACAGTGTCACAGCATTTGATAAAAACAAAAAGAAAAAATATAAACAAACACAGGCAAATAGGGGAAATGGAAAAGCTAAAAGAAGTAAG